TTAAACAGTATTTTTAATATCACAATGTGAAGATATAAGTCATTTAATTCTTTATTTGTGGAGTTTGGTACTTCACTAACAATAACAACAACAAATAAACAGCTTTGCAGTCAGAGTTCCTAAAAATATGGCTCATCATCCATGAACTCTATGAATTGAAACAAGTTTTTTTTTTTTTTGAGATTATATATTAAATTTTTTTTAACTTTTATTTAATGAATATAAATTTCCAAAGTACAGCTTATGGATTACAATGGCTTCCCCCCTATAACATCCCTCCCACCCGCAACCCTCCCCTTTCCCACTCCCTCTCCCCTTCCATTCACATCAAGATTCATTTTCAATTCTCTTTATATACAGAAGATCAATTTAGCATACATTAAGTAAAGATTTCAACAGTTTGCTCCCACACAGAAACATAAAGTGAAAAATACTGTTTGAGTACTAGTTATAGCATTAAATCTCAATGTACAGCACACTAAGGACAAAGATCCTACATGAGGAGTAAGTGCACAGTGACTCCTGTTGTTGACTTAACAAATTGACACTCTTGTTTATGGCATCAGTAATCACCCTAGGCTCTTGTCATGAGCTGCCAAGGCTATGGAAGCCCCCTAAGTTCACCGACTCTGATCATATTTAGACAAGGCCATGGTCAAAGTGGAAGTTCTCTCCTCCCTTCAGAGAAAGGTACCTCCTTCTTTGATGACCCGTTCTTTCCACTGGGATCTCACTCACAGAGATCTTTCATTTAGGTTTTTTTTTTTTTTTTTTTTCCAGAGTGTCTTGGCTTTCCATGCCTGAAATACTCTCATGGGCATTTCAGCCGGATCCGCATGCCTTAAGGGCTGATTCTGAGGCCAGAGTGCTGTTTAGGACATCTGCCATTCTATGGGTCTGCTGTGTATCTCACTTCCCATGTGAAACAAGTTTTGTAACCTCTCTGAACCTTCACTTTCTGGTGTATATTAAGGAAGTATCAATCCCTACTTTACCAGACTTTGGAACACATGAAAGGAAGTGATGGGTTGAATCACACAGTGCAGCAGTTGGCTTTATACACTAAGTACTGTAGGGGTATTAGAGTGTTAGAGATAAGCACATTTCACCAGAAGGGGAAAAAAAAAACTTAAGTAAACATAAATTTAAAATGTGAAGCGGTACACAGGTAAATATCTTCAGGAACCAGTTTTGGAAACTGAAAATATTGCAGACTCAGACATCCTATAGAAATACGGCTCCATTTTCACACAGGCTTATTTAAAACTGGTTTGGAAGTTGGGTCAACAACTGCTTCTTCTGCATGACTCACGATAGGATAAGAACAAGTGATTATGTGTAAGGATTCTTCTGTCCTGAGCTTCAGAACACAAGTGACAAGTGCGACTTCCTGCCAGGGCTCACCTTTTTCCAGAGAGATTACAGTGGGTTTATTCTTTGAGTTCACCAAGCAAAATGAGCTCCAAGGGTCTGGTGTTGCACAGTGGGTTAAGCTGCCTGCCATATATGACATTCCATGTAAGTGCCTGTTCAAGTCCTGGCTGTTCCATTTCCAATGCAATTCACTGCTAATGTGCCTGGGAAAACAGTCAAACATGGCCCAAGTACTTAGGCCCCAGCCACTCACATGGGAGACCCAGGCTCCTAGATCTGGCCTGACCCAGACTGGGCCATTATGGCAATTTGGTGAGTGAACAGTAGATGGAAGCTCTCTCTTTCTCTCTGTCTCTCCCTCTCTCTAACTCTTTCAAATAAATACATAAATCTTTTAAAAAAAATAAGAAGACAGCAAAATAAACTCCAAGAAGAATATTTGTATTATCATTTTTATTGGTGTTTTTTACTTTATAATTCACTTATTACACAAAGGATTTTAGCTGTCTCATGTGTGTTGTGTTTATTTTCTTCCTTTGGTCCCTTTGTGAGAAGCCTAATCTAACACAGTTATGGTACTACAGAATGAAGTTCCAAAAGTTGTTTTGCCTTACAGCATTCCTTGTTTTCCTTGGTCTGTCATTTGCGTTAGAGCAAATATTTGTATTTGTGATCTCAATGCTCATTATACTAGAAATGCTTCTAGGTCACATACGAGCTTTTGGGCCTGGTAATAAAATCTGTTTTTTTGTTTTGTTTTGTTTTTAAGATTTTATTTATTTATTTGAGAGACAGAGTTCCAGACAGAGACAGGGAGAGACAGAGAGAAAAGTCTTCCATCAGCTGGTTTGCTCCCCAAATGGCTGCAACAGCCAGAGATGGGCCGATCCAAAGCCAGAAGCCAGGAGCTTCCTCTGATCTCCTACATGAGTGCAGGGGCCCAAGCACTTGGGCCGTCTTCCACTGCTTTCCCAGGCCATAGGAAAGAGCTGGATCAGAAGAGGGGCAGCCAGGAAATGAACTGGTACTGCAGGCAGAGGCCCAGCCACTAAGCCGCAGCACTGGCCCCATAAAATCTACTTCTTGAGTTAATTGTTTAAAATCTAAATTCCTAGTTGCCTCCTCTGGAAATTTTGTCTCAATCCAGAAGGCATACTAAGTCTACAGTTTTTGTTTGTTTGTTTGTTTTTTTTCTGTCTCTGTTTTAACCAAATGCCCTACTTGAAAAATCTACAATCAGTTAAGGCTAGGAAAACCCTACCCTCTACAGTCAACCTATTGGAAATGTTGGCTAAAACACTTCTTTGAAGGGAAACTTGAGTTTTCTGTCACTCTAAGATATGAATTTGGGGAAACAGCTGAGAAGAAACAGTGCAAGGGGAAAATAAAATCTGCTGTTCTTTTTGATTAAACATTGTGTATTGATGACCTATTTGTTCTTTTTGTGGCACTGTTGGCTCCATTTTACTTGGAAAATTATTCCACTTACAAGCAGTAGTTACAGTATTTCAGAGGAGACACCAAGAAAGTGTATGTCATCCATGAAAAATAAAAATCAGCCAATTAAAACCAGAAACTTGTCAACATAGATAGGGGGTGCTTGGTCCCCTCAGTGGGTGCCAATAGTGTCTAGGCTAGTATTTCTAAAGACAGAGAATGATAATTGTCCTTCATGGGTGAGAAAGTCCTTCAAGGGTGAGTAAGCCCATTAGTGCCCTGGACTTCCATAGATCTGCAAGACAATGACAGAAGAGAGATGCAGTCTGCCCAGACCTGGATCAGATGCTATTTTATTGTTCATAATTGACTCTGGGTGCAAGGCAGCTTGGCAACTGGGTTCGCTTTTAAGGGCATGCTACAGAGTGAAATTAATGGTGGATGTGGCTATAGTTAGGAGATTTGTCAGCATGCTTATCTCCTATTAATTACTGACTAATTGTAAGGTGCACATTACCTGTGTCAATTCCCTACCTAAAGCAAATTTAGCAGAGTGATTATGTTACTGAAGGAGAGCCTCCTGGGTGTCAGGCTATGGCAGTTAATTGAACTAATATTTTTGAGGGTCTACCTTTTGGCTGTTAAAAAATTCTGGAAATAATCATGCAATGGCGAGATAAAATTGATGGGAAGACTGACATTGGTCAATATAGTTCAGTAGTATATAATTACCAAATAAGATATAGACAAGGAAGGAGAGGAACAATGTCTCTGGGAGGGTGTGACATGGCTTTCTAAGCATGTGTACCATTTTCTGTTGCCAGATAAGAAATGCTCCCCAAACTTACCAACTTGTACTAGCATGACTGTTAACTGTCTCACCTGTCAAGCATTGAGTCATACTGTTGCTCAGGGCCACAGTCATCTGAAGGAAGGAGTGTGAGTTGCAGGAAGTACATGGTGAGAAGAATTCAGCAAGGGAGAGCATGGGCAGAGTTAGATTGTCCGAATACACTGCAAGGAAGCAGCAAGAAAGCAGGTCAGCTAGGGGCTGAGTACTGCCCGAACATGGAGCATACTCTGAGGGGCATACCTGCAGCAGTCCCTTCTTGGTTAGGGTGACTGTTGCCATATGCTTGCAAGGGAGCAGGGGGCAGGGCAGCCAGTGGCTGGCTGTGACAACGTGGACCGCAATCAAAGAAGTAGACTCGTAACTACAGTATTGCTTCCACTAGGTTGAGTTTGCTGTCGTCCATGAGGTTACCCCAGGCAGGTGATTTGTTTCTCTGGGCAGAGCTGGGGAGCTGATAACCCCCTCTGCCTTAAGGGACACCACCAAATGCTCTGCAGCCACCCTGCACACTGTGAAGATCCCTGGTGGTAGGAGAGGCTTTAGTTCTTCACTAAGTGTGTCTTTGCACAAGGCTGATCAGAATGTAGCACCTGGGTCCCCCCAAAGCAAACAGTTCAAGAGGGAGACAGAGAATATGCATGTGGCCAAGATGGAAGTAGTGCTGTCCTGTAACCTCATCTTAGGAGTGTCAGGCATCACTTTTCCTGTGGTCCATTGGTGTTTGAGGCCAAGCCTCCTGCACTGTGAGATGGCAGTACACAGGAGTCTGAACACCAGAACCAACCATCTTGGAGGTCCCCCAACACGCAAGTCTCGGGGATTGGTGGAGGGTGCTTCTGAGGAGGTGCTGCTGAAGCTGAAACAGAGAGGAAGAACAGAATGAGGGGGCATTTGGTGCTGAGCCTTCCCTGGGTGTTTGGAGTGTTGAGTGTTTTGACACAGTGAACAAAGATCAGAGCAGAGAGAGCCCGGAAGCCTGTGCTGAGAGGTGATGCTGAGGAAGTTGGCAAGGGCCAGACCTTCCCTGTCCTTTTAGGTCACATTAAATACTTTGTTCTTTGGAGATTTAAGCCTGGGAATGATGTAATCATATATATATATATATATAAAAATTTTTTTTCCTCTGTCTCTCTCTGCCTGCTGTGAGCAGTATGGATAGGTAGGGAAATCAGCTTGAAAGCTTTTATAGGGGCTGGCATTGGGGTGCAGCAGGCTAAGCTGCCACCTGCAAAACCAGCATTCCATATCAGAGTTTTGTTGGAGTCTTGGCTACTCTGCTTTGGATCCAGCTTACTTCTCATGCATGCTCCCAGGAGGGCAGTGGGATGATGATCTAAGTATTGAATCCCTGCCACCCACTTTGGAAACCAGGATGGAGTTCCCAGCTCCTGGCTTCAGTCTGGCCCACTCCTGGCTGTTGCAGCCATCCGGGAGTAAACCAGTGGATGGCATATCTCTGTGTGTCTGTCCCTCTCTGTCACTTGGCCTTTTGAATAAATAATTATTTAAAAAGAAAAGAAGCAACTTCTTATAGTTGTCCAGGCACAAGATCGTAATGCATAAAAACACTGGCAGTAGAAATAGTAGTGAATGTATATAAGTGTATTTAGGAAGAAAACTTGTCATAATTTCCAGATGGAGTGAAGGAGTTATCTGTGGTGATTTCTCAGGTCCTGGCGTCTAGAGTGGGATGGATGGAGATGACATCTGATGCTAGAGGGAACCCTGGAAGAGAATTGGCTTAGGGAAAACATCACAGAACTAATCTTGAAATCAGCAATATCACTGCATGCAGCAAGTAAACATATAGGCTCAGTGTCTAGGGGAAAGTAGGGAGGTCTTTGCCAAGAAAAATGCACTTCTAGGCAGATCTACAGAAATGCACTGCATTTTTAAAACCGTATGACAGGTTTTGTTTTGTGTTTTAATTTATGTGTAAGTAGCTAACGTCTGGCAAAGGACAACTGGGAATTCTTGATGTTTCTCCTTTGATGATCATTCTTGTCTTTTAAACCACGTTGATGGAGAGTTTTAAATCACAGCTAATTTTTTTTTTTTTTTTTTGAAGTGTTAGACTCCACTGAGAGGTGTTCATGCTGGTCTCAGTTCCTTTTACTGTATTATCTCCAAACTAATAATTCTTTTTCTGACACCTCCTCACATACACATGCGTGCACAGACACACACACAGTCTTGATTGTCAAAGAATTAAGGATGGGCTGTCCTAAAATTACAGCATTTGAGAGTCCCTGGGGAACAACAGCTGATCATTCATTCTTGTGTTCTAGGCCAGAAACATGGTAAGTGGACACCTCCTTTGTACAGGCTCTTGTGATTGGAGTTCATATATTTTTTTAAAGATTTATTTATTTATTTGAAAGAGTTACACAGAGAGAAGGAGAGGCAGAGAGAGAGAGAGAGAGAAGTCTTTCTTCAGCTGGTTCACTCCCCAATTGGCTGCAATGGCCAGAGCCACGCTGATCGGAAGCCATGAGCCAGGAGCTTCTTCCAGGTCTCCCACGCGGGTGCAGGAGCCTAAAGACTTGGGCCATCTTCTACTGCTTTCCCAGGCCATAGCAGAGAGCTGGATCGGAAGTAGAGCAGCTGGGACACGAACTGGCGCCCATATGGGATGCCAGCACTGCAGGCGGTGGTTTTACCTGCTTCGCCACAGTGCTGGTCCCAGAGTTCATATTTTATAAAATGCCACCTCCTCTCTCTGATCAGAGACCTACTGTGTACCAAGCACTATTCTAGGCAAGTGCTGCATGCCAGAGCTCACTTCTCCATCCACCCTGAGTGGAAGGAAGACTTAAGTGTCATACTGTGCCCTGAGCAACTTAATGCCTTCTCCATGGGGAGGCTGGATAAGGACATTGAATTTGGCACAGCAGTAGCAGGCAGGATAAGGCCCTAAGGTAGGTATTGTTCTGTAGGTACTGCTCTATACCTCTTAGAAGAGTGAAATCCCTAGAATTAGTGAGGGACTTTAGTTTTCTTTTGTTCAATGCAGATCTCTGAGTCTTTGCAAGGGCCTAACATGGTGCAGACCTTGCCAACATACTTGAAAGAGTTGAGTGGGTAAATTACACATATGTTTAAAAGCTTTTTATTTTGAAATAATTTACACTTGGAGAAAATTTACAAAATTAGTATAGAGAATTCCCATATAACTTCCTTCCAGCTTCCCTTAACGTTACATAATCATTGTATGGTGATCAACAACTAGTAAATTGGGGGCTGGCATTGTGGCATAGTGCTTTAAGCTGCTGTCTATGATGCCTGTATCTCATATGGGTGCTGGTTCATGTTCCAGCTGCTCCACTTCTGATACAACCAGCTTCCTGCTGATGCACCTGGGAAAACAGTGGACAATGCCCCCGGTGCTTAGGCCCCTGCTACCCACATGGGATACCTGGAAGAGACTTCTGGCTCCTGACTGCTGGCTTCAGCTTGGACCAGCTCTGGCCATTGTTGCCCTTTGGGGAGTAATCCAAAGGATAGAAGACCCATGTATATGTGTGTGTGTGTGTGTGTGTGTGTGTCTTCCTCTCTTTCTATAACTCTGCCTTTCAAATAAATAAATCTTTTTTAAAAAAATAGTAATTAAATAACATTGACAAAATACTGTTTTTTATTTTTTTGACTGAACACTCTTGGGTTATGGAAAGGACCAAGAGAATTTGATTTTTATTTATTTGAAAGCAAAATGATGGAGAAGTCGAGAGAGAGACAGCGAGAGGGAGAGAAAAATCAATCTTCCATCCACTAGTTCATTCCCCCAAATACCAGCAATAGCCAGGGCTGGGCAAGACTGAAGCCTGGAGCCAGGAACTCCATCTGGATCTCCCACATGGGTGGCAGGGAGGAATGCATATAATTGAGCCATCATTAGTTGCTTTCCATGGACACTTTATCAGGAAGCTGTATATGAAGTGGAGTAGCCAGGACTTGAACTTGGGATGTGGATGTCCCAAGGAACAACACAATACCTGCCCTGAAACACAGTACTGTTAATGGACACTTCAGGTTGCACATTCTTACTCCCACTGATGTCTCTTTGTTGTTGTATGATCCAACCCAGGATTCCACATTGCATTCGGTTGTTTTGTCTTCAGCATAAAACTTTTTCAGTCTTTGCTCATCATTCATGACTTTGACACTTGTGAAGAAAAACTGTGGTCAGTTACTATAGGAATGCCCCTCAGTGCCAGTTTGTCTGAAGATTGAAAGCCCTCGTGTTGTAGAAGACTTCCCAAAGGAAGTGGAATTTTGGGTGCACTTCAATGAGAAGTGCTACTTGGATGGATAGAGGGGTGGAAGGAGAGTTTTTAGGCAAGGAGAACTGTGTCCAAAAACATTGATTCTAGAGCCCTTTGCTGTTATCCTGGCTCCTCTTTGCAGGTACAAGTGATTGGTAGCATCAAATGACTTGCTGAGAGTTGTAATCACCCTTGTCCAGCTGCCCTGCTGCTTTGGGTCCTGTGTCTTGTCCATCAGCAAGAAGCTCTTTTGATTTGTGCTCAACAAAACCTCCATATGTAACCTGCTCTGCTACTGGTTTTGGGCTCCAACTTCCTGGGTGCCAGCTGATGTTCCCTTTGTATCTTTGTACTGGACTTTATTCTGCCCTTTGGTAGTCTTGGGACATAGAATCTTACATTTATTTAATTTTCCTTATTGTTATATTTGCTAAAACTGAACCAGCATTATGTGGCAGCCTCTTTACCATGCCTTCTCAATAGGAGGTGATGTCACCCCTAAGTGTTTGTATGTTGGTTCTTAGGGGAATGAAAAAAAACTTACTATTTTTATGTATAAATACAAATCTATCTACAGTACTTAAGCATATTGCAATATTTCTGTTGCATTACATTTTATTGGAAGCAGGGGTTGGTTGGGGAGAAAAAAATCTAAGAAAGCTCATTGGTGGTAGCCATAATTAAAGAAAAAGATGTTCACAATCACTGTGATAAGTCCACTGATTTACCTCTATGATCCTACTTAATTCACACCACTTCAAGGAAAGTATTCTTAGCGCCTCAGTTTAAAAAATACAAATGAAGAAACTGAGAATTAGCAAAATTGAATTATTGCCCACAATCACAGAGCCAGTGGGTGTGGATGGGAATATCCACCCGAACAGGAGATCTCAGAGTACAAGGTCTTTGTTTATCCATGCCAGTCTACAGCCATATTCCTATTACCAATTAGAAAGAATATAAAGCATTTCCGAAAACCAGAGAGAGACTTTCCTGGGCTTTATTTATTCATTTGCACTTCCCATTATAGCACCATTACTAGGGCAGATAATTGTGGGTCACCTCTTTATACATTTGCAATATCGATGTTAAGATTTTAGCTGGACACAGGTTGTTGTGGCTCTAGTATCTAGAAGAATGTACCCTTGCAGGAAGTGCTCAGAACATAGGACAGAGCTTCAAAAAGTTCATAGGAAATGCAAATTATGAAACAAATTATTCATGGATTTCAACATTTTTTTTGCACCAGAATAAACTTACGATTTAATTCCATTTTATAAGAACTTTTTGAAGTACCCTCCTGTCTGTTGAATGGATAAAAGGGAAAGGATGTTGTATTTGAAGACAAAACTTTCAAAGCCAAGCTGAATTATTTCTGTTTAATGTTAGGGCCATAATGTTAGGTCTTTAAAGAAAATAAACACCAACGACAAAAGTGTAGGATAAGATTCATACCTACCGCAGACAAAGTTAAGTTCTGGGTGGCCAGTTGGGTTTGATGTAGAAAGTGCCTGTAGCTACTCAAACTCCAAACATATGACTTAATATTGTTTTACCATGCATAGTTGATAGAGATTAAATCAGACTTAATTTTTCCATCCATCTTGAAGGGCTCAAAAGAAAAAAGCAATCAGTATTGTCATTGGAAATAAAATGATGGCGGTGCCTTGAGTGAACAATAATGAGTATGACTTTTTTCTTCCTTTTTCAACTGGGTTTAGAACCCAGCTTCTTATGTTTGAGCAGGGACTAAATGTCCTTTAGACAGAGTCCTTCCACTGAACAGAAAAGAAGAAATCTCAAGTTACAGGAGAATGTAGAAATGTTACAATGAGCATCTCTGTGAATGGCAGACATAAATTGATTGGTGTATTATTCAGATCCTATGAATTCATCTCAGTATCTTTTTTAAGGCATAATACATTCAACTGGTTGGCATATGTTGAAGGTTCATATGTGTTGTGTTAAGATTGGCTATGGACTTATGATTGTCTAAACTAGGCCGTACAGATAGATGCAAATTTCGGTTTTCACAGGCACTTCCCAAAGTAAGTAATTCAGGACCTCAGAAAAGCTAGATGTGTTCAAAGGAAACTGTTTTTAATATATATGAGTGGAGACAGACAAAAGAATGGAGACAGCACTACCAGGCCCTTGTTTTCTTGTTCCCGGAAGCCTTTACCCGTAACAGGGTGAGAGCTTCTAGGAAAATCTGCTCCAAGTGCAGATGTAACCAGAAAGTTGTGTAACTCAGAATCAGGAAGGCGGTAAAGAATTTCTCCAGCTGCCTCAGAGAATAAGCTATGCATTCACCGCCATGACAAATGCAAGCTTCTTTGGAATATGTGTTCAAATATCTTTTTCTAAATCACGCTTCTTAGAGTTTTGTGAAGTGGGCTTTTTTCTTGTTGTTTCTCTGCTGCTTTTAATTCTCCTTTTCCTACCCCCTGAGGCTTGTAAGACTTGGCCTGCTAAGATCTCAGTGTTGAGAAATTGGGACACACACACACACACCTATTACCTGAGTAGGGTGCATGCCAGTGCTCTTTATCAGAGATGGTAAGTGCTTCAGATTTCTAATTACAGGTTTTCTGGCTCCTCACGCTCAGCATTTGAGATCCTCAATGCCAGAATACCAGGTGCTTCAGATACTCCACTCTAGCCATTGAAAGACCTAATGTAATTATGCAAAATTGAAAAATCACTTTCTCTCCTGCAGAAGTATCTCGCGGCCTTCTCCATTTTGAAGTCACAAACTTAGATTTGCCTGCATCTTATCAGAATCAGACTTATCTAATCCTCTGATGAGCTCCACAGAGAGGAATTGTACCAGCTCAGCTTTGGGGGAATGCCTCATGTCATATCTTTGCTCTGTGACTGCTTAAAATTAAAGACACAGGAGTAGACAGTGCTATTATTTACTCTTCTAGCTAATGCCTTTCCACACCCAGAAGGGAGGCCTGCTTCATTGTTCTCTGATTCTATAATTCACGTGGAAAAATCATTTTCATAATTTTGAAGCATATCAAACAATTGGCTTGTGCTTTCTTCTTGGGAGATGATTTGCTATTTCAGGTATTGATGTGAGTGAGCTAGGGGCCAAAGTAGTCCAATTGATAATTTCCTGTGAATACCCCACTACTGCCTGTGGCCAGGGTCCACATAAAATTAGTACTAAAATTGTCCAGAGGGGCTACAGGTTCAAAGGGGGCTCTGGAATTTTTTTCTTGGCCTGGGGAATCCAATTTTTTTTTTTTATTTTTAAGCTTTATTCTTGTCAGTGAAGAGGTAAAATATCTTCCAAAAGTCAAAGCACAGTATCGCAGGAAGACCAAAATCCAGGACCTTCAACTTGGGCAGACCTGCCACACTGCTGTGGCTTCTTAGCTGAGTGACCTTTGACATTTACTTAACCTCTGGGAGTTTCATCCTTCTCATCTTTCAAAGGGAAAACAAATAGGTCACCTCTTCAAAGGCTGCCTGGAAGAGATGCATCAGCTTGGGGGCTGGAGCCTAGGGCTGGGAGAGCTGTTTAAGGCACTCTTGGAAAGCCAGCTAAGGTGGTTAGCTTGTATCTTTGGGAGCCAAGGTCAGTGTAGTTTTTCTATCAAAAAGAGTGAAGATAGGTTGGGATTTGTGTTAACCAAAGTGGACATAGCACACTGCTTTCAAAATGGTCTGTGCCCAAAGAGAATGGTTTCTTAGTAATCATCTCATAAAATAATGAGTTCGGGGGTCAGTGTATGTGACCCAGTGGCTCCAGCCTGGCCTTAAAACCCCTATTGAGTCCTGGCCACTCCTCTTCCCATCCAGTTGCCTCCTAATGGACCTAGGAGGCAGCAGATGATAGCCCAAGTTCTTGGGTCCCTGACACCTATCTGGTAGAGCCTGATGCAGTTCCTGGCTCCTAGCTTCTGCTATTTGAGGTAGTGAACCAGCAGATGGAAAAATGCCTCTGTCACCCTGTCTTTCAAATAAATACAATAAATAAATATTGTAAAAATAAAATGAAATAGCAAGTACTATTTACTCATTATTATAAGGTGATGATGATGGGAGGTTCAGCTGTGTTTCTGCCTTGTTTCTAAGTAAACCCACACCTGGTGTTTGGCTTCTCCACGTGGGCCTATTACCCAGGTGGCAGCAACTCCTAGTGGGCTACCCTGGGCCAGGACCACGTGACCTCCTCTCCTAGTGGGTGCCCTCAAAGTCTGGCTCATTCCCCACCCCCACCCACCTTGGGCAAGGCCACGTGGGTAGGGGCAGCCAGGCTCGCACTCTTGGGGGGAGAGGAGGGAGGAGGGGGTCCGGCAGCAGCCCCCGAGTGTGAATAGCGCGCTTTGACGAGCGAGGCTGGGGACGCCCGCCCGGTCTGTGCCTCCTGCCTGCGGGCCCCATAAAAGGAGCAGCTGCCGCCGCCGGGCAGCTCAGACGCGCGCGGGGATGAGGCGGGCGGCGGCTGAGGGCGCGCCTGGGCTCCGGCAGTGACCGACGCGGACCTCGGTGCGGCTAGAGGCGCGCAGGTAACCGCGGGCGAGCGGGTTTTGTCCTCGGGCTTGGAAGTGACAGCAGCAGCAGGGGAGGGGAGTCAGGCAAGCAGGAAGGAGACTGGGCAGGGACCAGGAAGAGGGGAAGCAGGGAAGACAGAGCAAGGGAGGAAAAGGAAGGAAGGGAAGCAGGGCGCAGCCGCGCGGGGGCAGCTGGCATGCGCTGCGCTTGGCTTTGGCCGGGGCGTTCAAGTTCCCCACCTCCGACCTCTTCTGGCCGGCGGCCGATCCCTCCCTAGACGCTCCCTCGCGCGCCGCTCGCCTCGCAGCGCAGCGCACGGCAGCGCCGCGGCTCCACCAGCCATGTTTTCTGGGCAGGCGTCTCGGCCGCGCAGCCGAGCGGCAGGGCCCCACGCTCCGGGAGCGCCGCGGCTGCAGCGTGGGGCAGGTGGAAGGAGACGCGGGCGGCCAGCGCGCGCCAGGCTGGCTGTGCTCTCGGCCGTGGACTGGGGGAGGAGTCCTTCCGAGGATGGTTTACTTTAGCTTTTCCTACGGACCCCGGGCCGCCGGCCTGCTGCTGCTGCTCAGTGAACTGTTGGCTCACCGCAGCTTCTGTATCTTTGAGCTGCTTTAGGAGTGGTGTTTGCATCAAGCTGGCCTCAGCTGGAGAAAATAGAGGGACAGAGAAGGGGCCGGGTTGGGGTGGGGAGCTTTTGTGCAGAGCCCTGTTGTAGGGCCTTCGTCGTTCTCCCATGGACAGGCAAAGGCAGTGTGGCATAGCCCAGGCCTTTTTGGCCTGCTGTGTGCCAGTTGCCCTCTCCATACCCTCATGGGGGTTGTTGATCTGTGGGCAGAAGGTTGCCCCGAAGGCGCGCTCCGTCCACCTGCGATGCCCGTGGGTACCCTGTGGCGCTGGTTTCCTTGGCTTTCCTGCCCAGCCCCAGGAAATGTCAGTGTTGGCAGCCGTGCTGGCTGCTCTGAGCAGCTGTTCTCCCCCCCAGACCACAGTGGATCCCTATCAGCAAGTGTGTGGCAGCTGTTTTGGGCCCCGCGGTGATGCGAAACCCTTTCTTGCTTGAGGAGCTGTTGGATGGGAGGTCCGGAGTGCCTCTGCTTCTCTTTCCTCCTCAGTTGAACTTCATCCTTCCTATTCTCCTAATAAGGAAGCTCCGTCGGCCTCTTCTGCAACCTGTGTTGTGTTTGAACTCCAGGCTCTGAGATCTGTTGTGTGGGATAGAGCAACACAGGAGATTGAATATGGGGGTGTAGCCATCACAGCAAGGTCTGTAAAGATGGTAAATATAGACCAGACACTGTTTTCCATTCTTTCCATATATTATCCTCTTCAGTACACACATGCCACCAAGAATAGCATCCCCACTTAACAGATCAGCAGAAGCAGTGAGGTTTGTCCAGTGTGCACAGTGACGGAGCTGGGGTTTGAATGGAGGTAGTATCACCTCAAGGTTCAGCTGTGTTCATCCTTGCCTCCTTGTGTAACACGTGTGTTAAACCTTCCTCATGGGCTTCCTCCTTCTGGGGTGCCTTGAATAAAAAAGCACCACACAGGCCGGCGCCGTGGCTCACTAGGCTAATCCTCCGCCTTGCGGCGCCGGCACACCGGGTTCTAGTCCCGGTCGGGGCGCCGGATTCTGTCCCGGTTGCCCCTCTTCCAGGCCAGCTCTCTGCTGTGGCCCAGGAGTGCAGTGGAGGATGGCCCAAGTGCTTGGGCCCTGCACCCCATGGGAGACCAGGAGAAGCACCTGGCTCCTGCCATCGGATCAGGCGGCCATTGGAGGGTGAACCAACGGTAAAGGAAGACCTTTCTCTCTCTCTTTCTCACTGTCCACTCTGCCTGTCAAAAAAAAAAAAAAAAAAAGGCACAACACTCACTGTGAAGTGAGATAGATGTGGGTTGAATCTTGGATCCTACCTTTCCAGAATTCATGAGTTATCCCATATAAATCCTACATGATGTGTTAGATGGTAATCGGTATAAAATGCTTACCGCGTAATTCATAGGCAGGTGTTATCAGATGTATTCTGAAGTTATGGTAGCACAGTGTCACAGTACTTAAAGATTTTTAAAGCCAAGGCAATCTGTGGGCCTTTAGATTCAACTCTGTCACTCAGGAGTTGAATGAACTTGTCAAAGAACTTAAACCTCTCACAGCCTCCATTGTTACATGTTTAAAGATCACTTATTTATTTGAAAGGCCCAGTGATAGAGAGAAAACAGTTTTTGCATCTTTAGAGTGGGTTGTATTGCATAGAAGATGGACTTAAAACAGCACTAGGCCTGGTACACACAAAGTAGACGCTCAAGAAATATTCGGATGATGTCTGTTTTGGAAATGGGTATAGTCTCCTGCATTTGGGTATGTTGTTACTTTGTAGCATAGCATAGTGTAACCATGGCTTAGCATCATCACTTCTTTGATGGTAGTGTATCAGGGACCTGCCACAGTCATCACACACTCACACCACCCACACAGAGCCCAGAAAGTCTGCATTGGAAATGTTTAAGGATTTGGTGAATTCCGACTCTTTCAGTAGGAGCTCTGTTTGTCTTGGCAAAGTAATCACTGACTTTTAAGGGTTAGGGAAACTTCAAAGTTAATTTTAAAACTGTCTGAAAACCAGCTGGAAGAATTAGCACCACACTTAACAGTTGCAAGGGAGAAAAAAATGGATTGACTATGACATTTACTTTCTTCCTAAGCTCTTAAAAACTGTAATATAATCTGCAAAACTGTTGCAAATAATCAATTGGAATCTTACTTTAGCAATTCTAGAATAAGTATGTCCTCTGATGTGGCTTTATAGATGTTGGCAAACTAAAAATAAGTCATGGAATGAAACGTTTTGAAAATACAACATTGACATAGAGTAGCATGTTTTGAACAGCTGTTGAGGGTTTATGCAAAATATTTGTTTATGAACGAAGACATTTTAAGCCCAATGCTTACAAAAAAGCATGTGTTAAATGGAAATAAACACAGCAATCAATAAGTGGTTAAATTGTAGCACATATAGATGCTCCTGGAATTAAGATGAAGTTCTCTTCTGATAAATCCCTCTGAAATTGAAATGCTTTTGATCCATGTAAACTATCATACTGTCATAACTTAGCAGTTACTCACTCATGTGACTTCCATAGCTGACTGGGTACTAGGTTTTGCTGGTGTTGCCCAATATTGCCCGAGAGAATCAAGCCATATATTGCTAGCCTGGGGGAGATACTTACATTCAGACTTTGAGGTATGGTTTTCACTGATGCCATATCACTGTAACACCACTGGAAAGTTGACAAACTATAAGTGTAACCATTGTAAGTTGGGACCATCTGTCCTTACAGTAGAGTGAATTCACAGCCATTGTACAATGCCCTGCTGTGTATATACTGTTAGGGAACAGACCCCGAGATATGAAGACAAGACTTGTGTCTCTTTTGATCACCTCTCTGTGGCTTTAGAATAGTGCTTGCTGCTCAATAGTTGCTCAATAAATGACTGAATGAGAATGTTGTTCAGTCAGACAAAGCAAGATATTGAATAATGTTTGGAGTTAGTTACCATTTATGTTTTTAAGTAAATAATGCAAGTGTACACAAGTATAGAAAACACTGGTTGCCTCTGGAGGGACTGGAAGAATAGAGGAGTTTTATTCTCATTGGTCAGAGTTTTGCTTGTTTTTTTAGAACATATCCTACCATGTGCGTGCATCCGTGAGAAGCGAAAGTGTTCAGAGATGTAGTTCTGCCGAGTTCGGTGTTATTATTTTTCTGTGTAACTTACTCTTACTGTGACTCTTTTATTATGGGCTGTTTGGTTTCTTATCCCTGGTCGAGTACCTACAGCCCTTAGATGGGATTCGAAGTGTATTGGTTGTGGGGAGGGTGTCTGCCAGATGGAATTCCTATGCAGCCACTGGTACATCACCCCGCACATAGAGATGGCACATGAGAGAGACCCTGTTAGTGTTGTTTGGACCAGACTTCATAGGCTTCTGATACTTTGCACAGAATTTGATCCTTCTCGGGAGCTGTGCAGGTATTTTAGAATGAGTAGATGGCTAGAGTGTGAGTCACCTAAGAATTTATGATTGCGTTACAATGAGCACCAGTTCTAACACGTCTTTGACGCACATCTTACATTCACTTCCACAATTCTTCCCTGTCATAAGTAGGTCCATTAGAGAAATGGTTTCTTGAGTGCAATATGATTGATGAGAGTATGGGAAGAAACTATTAGGAGTTCTATGTATATATAGTATATTTTTAATGTCATCTTTTTTGCAGAGTTTTTTTAATTTATTTGAAAGGTGGAAATGGAGGGTAAGCTTCCATCTGCTGGTTCACTCCCCAAATGATCCACGACAGCTGAGTCTGAGGCAGGCTGAAGTCAGGAGCCAGGAACCTGATTCAGCTCTCCCATGTGGGTGGCAGGGACCCAGATACTTGGGCCATTATTCGCTGTCTTCCGAGGCACTTTACCAGGAAGGTGGATCTTAAGTGAGTAGCAAGGACTGGAACCAACACTTTGAAAGAGGGTGCAGGTGTCCCAAGAGGCAGCTTAACCTGCTGTACTGCCCCAGATTGTTGCGTTGTAAATAGCATATGTACACCCAAATGTTAGTACTGGGCCACATTTGCCTTCATTTTTTCATTCTGTTTTGGCTGGACCACTGAAAGTAAGCTGCTGAGATGGTGCCCCTCTTAGCTTTGCCCACTTTGGCCAATTCTTTGATTTCTTTTAAGTTGTTGTGTTTAGGGATAGGTGTTCAACTTTGTTCCTTTGTACGGCTTTGTCAACAGTAACACATTAAAGAGTTGTGAAGGGATGTCTGTGTTTTGAATTGTGACCGTTTCTAAGATTCCATCTTAATTTCCATGATCTTTCATCACCTTGGTAAACAAACTAAGGCATAAGTTTCTGTTACAGCCTCCCCCACCCTGAAGAAACAGATCCTCCTATGTTAGGATTGATAGAAATGACAATGATGTTGAAGATGGTAGCCAAATAGTAACATCTGTC